TCCTTGCTATGCACAATGCCTCCGAGGTCATATAGAGGATTCCTTTCGGCCCTCCCCCTGGTACTTCTTCTAGCTCTCCCGATCTGCTCCCGTTCCCGAGGCCTTCTTCAGCACCCGCTCAATGACCGTTCAGGAACAACCACTTAGCAATCTCGCCAATTCGGCACAACATCGGTACGGCTATATGCGCAAAGCAGAGCACAGCTATGCTTCGCCGGCGCCTATACCCTTTCATCCTGGCTTATATGATATTATGCACAACGTGTTATTGTACAAGTTTGTTACCCCCCACCAGCTGCAGCCGCATGCAACGTATCTCCGCCGGCCGCGCCACATCCGCGTGCGGGAAGAGGGGAAGTTACGATATATGCATGTTCAATGGCGAAGAGGAGGTGATGACTCTATGTGAGAAGCCAGCCGCCCAGGGCTCACAGTGTACGATCGACCGCAATACAGCGCAATGCGGCGAGCGTATTCCGGCTTACTCATGGTGTTCGCCAGCAGCTGCTGCTCACTCAGTAGTACTCCACGGCTACCCATGGGCTGAACCACAGGAGGACAAAATGTTGTACGAAGCCGACCAACTGCCGGTAAGTAAGGGTATATACTTCCTGAATTCATATGTAATAACATCTGTCCAACCAAAAAAGCGCACGGGTCGGTCATCCAATACATTGCCAGCAGCTGGCTAGTGCGAGCGCCCAAGAGAGGCTGGTCACCTGCTTACGAGCGCCCAATGGTCAGGCGTGATTCTGATATATGTGGATCAGCTTAGGAGACCCTAGCACCTCATGTCCGCCGGACATGCCGTATATGTGCACCTCATGCATTTCAATCTCCGTAAAATCCACTGCGCTTTCCTATCATCCACAATGCTCGTAACCGAGTGTATCAGGTTTCTGACACGCCGCACCCGGGCTCGAGGGCCATGAGCGTACACTTCTAGTTACTGATTTCATAGTTTATAAGGTGTTCCCGGATCTCCTGGTCGGAAAGGGAAACGGTCTCTCGCATACACTAGCTTAGCTATGCATCCTCCGCATCTGTATCCGTGCAGCGTATGAACTCGAATACTGCAGCCGGAAATTATAGAGGCACAGTTGTATACTCCCAGTTGTGCAATGGTTACAATACGCACAACATGATCTGACCACTTGGCGCCGGAACGAATGTGTGTGGAACCCATTCAGGATAATCTTGGGACTCATATTGGCGGTGTGCCAACGCGTGCTACCATAACACAGTACGCTGGTAAGCCGCAATTATTGAGCGGATAGATGTCTCCGGCATTCCTTTGTGCCCAAAGCAACTCAGGCTGAAGTTGTATCTTTGCACCCGGGATCCGCCAAAGCTAGCTTCGTCTTCTGGCTATGCAGAACCCAACTTCCACTGGTAAGCCGCAATTATCGAGCGGATAGACATCTCCACATCCCTTTGTGCCCAGAGCAACTCAGGCTGAAGGGGATCTGCCAAAGCTAGCTTCGTCTTCTGGCTATACAGAACTCAACTTTCACCCCTCAAGTCTTCAATATCATAGAGTCGCTAATGTAATGAGTCGTCTTCTCGAAGCTTTCCGCCTCGTCGAGATCCACATGAAAATTCGACTATATACAATAGCTGTCTGCCGACTCCGATCCCAGTTCTGACATTGCTTCCGATAGCTGACAATCTAGTGATACCCCAACTGCACCACCTAGCTGGGCTTCCGCGTACACAGTTTATTTGACGCTGGAGCTAGAACCTCTAGGCTCAGTGTCTGGGCTCGGTCCATACTGGCAAACCAAGTTTGATCCCTGTGTCAGATAGTCTCTGGGAGAATCGTCATGCCCGACTGCCGCAGCTAGTAATAGTCGTGGTATGATAACATGGTATGAAGGCCATTCTCATTTCGGTCCCGAATGTGTAATCGTAGGGGCCTGAGGAGAGTTGTGCAGCCAGAAAACTGGTAAATAGCAGTTGCAGGCAGTAATTTAAGCCTTGATGGATTAACCATCTTGATCCAGAAATACGGAAGAGTAGGGCCCCTCCCCCTCCCCAACTAAAACAGGACATTTATTGCAGAAGCCGCGCAAGGTCGAAAGAAAAAAAGCACAAGTAATTTCAATTAGGCGTTGTCGTCATTGTCACCTATCTCTGTCGCCGTGTTCGCCTTCAGACCGTTCGAACTCCTGATGAAGCACTGATGCGGAGGTGGTGGTGTACTGTCGATTGGAGCCCTTGCAAAAGATCCTCGGAGTTTGAAGGTCTCATTCAAGCTCAAGAGTAAACGTTCAGTTGCGAAAGAGTTATAAGGCATCCAGTAATGCCTTGGATGGCATTCCTCTCGCCAGTCGAAACTTGCTAAAAAGCATGATTGTCGCGTGGTATGCGTCTCCTGGACCTCTGGGACAGGTCTAACCGGCGCTCGTCACCAGGCTCACAGTTACTCATGTCCAGCACCACCGAAGTGAACGAATAAATTGACTGATTCGAAACCCTGCCTTGCACGAAAGTGTGAAGGATGCTGGTATGGACGTCCAATCTAGAGGTCCAGTCGGTTCTACTTGACAAGCCATTCTCGGCAAAGAAAACATAAGGGAGTGTTGAACAAGCGCACACCCAAGTCAGGTAGAGAAAATTGTTTGGCCAGCGCTGGGTAGGTACTCATGGTCTTGCTGAAATATACTGACTACCAAGCAAATTAGCGCCGCGTCCGGTTCCGGAGACGCTTCCACGATTTGATGCTTTCTTGGGTGCATTGTCATAGCTGTCCATGTTCCATGCGGGATTCTGGGTGATATTTTACCCTTCTATTCCGTAGTTGAGCGGCAGGCTTTTGACTAGAGGGACGATCCGTTATTGATGGTACGGATGTTGGTGGGATAGCTGAGATTCATGCTACTTACCTAATCGATACATTTCCGAACATCTGTAAGTGGTGACTCGCTAATGGAGCAGGATCTGCATACTACTTCGGAGGACGGGTACACTCAGATCGGACTGATCTTTTATTTCTCGCCTTATTTATTCCCAACACCCCTGTCCTTGGCGCTCTCAGGAGCAGCCTGAAGTTTGCAGGCTAAGTATCCGGGAACAACACACACACACTGTTAACACATGGTCATAAGTAACTCACCAGCCGCAACTCGAGGCACACTTACCAACTACTCCGCCCAAAAGAGAGTGGCAGGCATAGTTCATATGACAACTCTTACCAAAGTCATGCCGGGCAACGTTGCCGCCGCGTTCAACCGATCCTAAGTTTCGGAACAGCATACACCCCAGTAGGCTGCCCAAGATTGGGGCATACCAGAGGTCCACAACTGAAGTGTCGGGGTGTGGACGAGTTGTACCTGCTGTTACCTAGAAGGCTAACACTCAATCGTTCCCTTTCTTCGAGCCCATACCAGGATATTCCGCCTAGTGCAGCTCTCATAAATTCAACTGTCGCGTCAGAATTGACTTTTTTGACACCCCATGCTGAGGGATCCGTGTAGCGCCAGTATCGGGGTCTCAAGTGCATGGGGCAACGAGCTGAGAAGCGGACGGGTCGAGATAAATAGACAACCACAGGAGCTCATGAATGTGACATTAATATCAGAACCAGACCACAATCCTCGATAGTCTTAATTAAGAGAATATACCGCAGAAAAAAGCTTTGGAACCAGATCCTTAGTCCGATCCCCTGGCATGATCAAGCTTGCTTTAGCTTGAAAGACTGTGCAAATTGATGGAATGTGAAATTAGTTGCGAGGACCGATCTGTGCAAGGTCGAGGTGTATCCGTACCTTCTTGAAATGTCGCCGGTCTGCTTCGTTCCGAATGAAGCGCGTCATGCGTTCGAGATCATGCCACAAGAAAGAGCTAATGACAATAACCATGACAGGAATGGCGATAATCCAGAAGCTATAACATCTCGTTAGCAAGTCTGGATCGTAAGTAGTCGGCACTTAGAGACGCCTAACACGATATCGGTGTGCCCGTGATGAATAGACCACATGTTCTCAAAGTTCATTCCTAGAAAACCCATGCTAACTCGGTTGAGATCAAAGACTAAAGATAGCCAGACATACCGAAGTAGCCCTGGAGCAACCATGAAGAATTAGCTTCCGAAGTGCAATCGAATGCAAAACTGGTCTCACAGTGAGGAAGGTCAATGGAAAGAAGATAACTGTTGCGATGCTCAATCGTCGCCTGGAGATATAATTAGTAAGTGTACAGATCGGTGCAGCAGAAACCCACATGGTCTCGTTAGTTTGGTACGAGATCGTCTGAGAACAACATGAGATGGAAAATTCTCAAACATTGCCCAAAGTACACGTACGTTGAACGTAAAATTGATTAAATTTTCTGCGATACTGGAGAACGTATCGAGGGAGCTGAGGATATATTCCGTATGATCCAAGACGTCAGCCTGATCAAGAGACGCCAAGTTGAGAGGGTTTTCAAGACGGAACAAAGCGTCCGCACCAAGTATATCTTAGCTTGATGTGTCATGAACCCTTTTACCCCCGATAGTTCGCTCTTCGGTGCGGCAGAGGAGACGAGCGCCTGACACCTGGCAAGATCGTATCTTCTAAGTCCATACACCAAACTCCTCAACGGAGTTAAGGTCCTCTTATGCAGCGTGATGTCGCCACTGAGGATGTGGACTGCAAGACCAAATCAGTTCGAAAACTAAGTAGATAACAAACAGGTGCCCCACGTTGCCTAACCGACATCATCTTTGGCTTGATAAGAATCTGACGCTCGAGAGACAGAATCTTATCGTGGTAACAATCGATAACTCGCAATGCATCATCCACAACTTTATTGACAGATTGGATCTTGGTGCTATCAAAGCGATAAAAAATGAAACTTACTATAATCTAGGATTGCTTGCAGCAACAAAGATGGGTCTGCGGACGCCCGCAAGATAGTATGCGGCTCCCGCAGGCGATTAACGATTGGTGTGGCAAACATGCGGGACGTAGCATCCTTTCTGTAGATCGAGATAACAGTGCCTAAAGATCGAGAAATTGTTTGCGTGTGTCTGCCGTTGAACAACTACTTACCATCACGCAGAAGGAAAAGGTAAAGGTTCCGGATCTCGACGTTTATTCGAGCATCTTTCTTCAACTCATTGACAAAGGCCTCTTTGCGAGCCACTTTTTCCTAATGAAGCAACGGACGTTCATATTCATGGGTCAGACGGTGAGCAGGTGAGAACGGACTCTGTAAAACGAAGCTGTAGTCTTCTTCAGGGGATTTGGATTCGGTCGAGCGGGAGGCGGAGCTTGTGCACTCGACGCCGCAACATGTGGCATAGTGATATCCTCGAAAAGGTGGCCTATGTCTTCGATCGGAGAGTGCACATCTTCATCAGAATTGTCGTCATCGTGGGCCGTCCGTTTGGACGGTTTGGGGGTGCTCGACTTCGAGTTAAACCAATGCCATGACTTGGACTTCCTGTTCTCAGCAGTCGCTGGGGGAGGCAGGCTTGAGGAACCTCCACGTGAGGTGCTGGGAATACGGGAGGATGTTATTTTATCATCAACAATGACACCATTGTCTTGCAGAGGGTGATGATGATGGTTGTCCTTCCTCCCGTGATTCTTCTCTTTGGGTTCATCGTCCGGCCCCTCTGCGTCCGAGTCCTTATGCTTTTTGGACTCCCCCAATGTGTGGCAAAGGGTGGATATGAACAGGTGCTTGACGTAGTAATCGGCCTTCGACAAGGTCGTGCGTCGAGTATGAAGGACATCCTCGACAGAAAGGGGATGCAAGTCTTGTTCAAACATGGGCCTTAAGTCCATTTCCCGAGAAAAAATCAGACTGACCGTATTGCAATGCTAAGGCGCTAATCACATCCCATGAAATACCCATGCTGCGCAATGTTATAAGACAGGATAGAGGGAGCAAAGTAAGGAACGAACACATTGATCCATCTAACCTTAGCCCATACTGGTCTGACAGATGTTTTGGAATCCTCCAGGAAATGAATCAAGCTCTCGTTGGTAGCTCGTTGGAAACTGGCGTGTGCCCCCCCATAATCGATGACTTGAATTAAGCATTCCTCATGGATATTGGAGTATTGCTCAACAGTTGATGGCCTTCGCGGGTCTACGCCAGGTTCTGCTCCAGGGGCACGAACAGACTGGAAGTAACAAATAAACGATGAGGCCTGTAGCTCTCGACGTGTATGACACACACCGCTTGCATTCTGTTGAGATGCATGACCTTCAAGGCAGAATTACGGAATCTGCTAGCACCAGGCCCAGGGGTCAGGAGGCTGGTTAGAGGTGGTCTCTCATATTTTTCCTTATAGTCATCGGGATTGTCAGACGGCACTAATCTCGACCGTCTAGAGCTTGAAGGATGGGCAGCTGGCTTGTGAGCGTCATCTGTTGGCGGAACGTCAACTGGAGATGAAGGGCCAATATTCTGATCGTCGCCTGTGAAACACGTGCACAGAGTCAATATCTGAACACCTGAGAAGCTCAGCATCGCACCAGACGTAATCGAGCCGCTTTGAGTATGCTCAGATTCACTGAAAGGAATTATGAGCTACCAGGGAGTATGCCACCTGGTATTAGGCGCCCACCTCGGCATCTCGAAGGACTGTTGGCATGCAGCAGGATTGGTAGAAGCGAAGAACCGTTGCAGTTTCCATTTTGGGTTCACTTCAACGTCGCCGTTGGCCGCTTCCAGGCACGAATTGATTTGTAACTTACATAATCGAAGCCACGACGTGTGCACCCCAGACATGACTAAAACCTGACACCACAACCCTCCGTCATCCTGACCATAAGTACCAACCAGACAATTGACCAGATGCGTCGGGAAAGCTGCACTACCACGTGGGGGTAACAAAATAGAATACAACAACAACGTGTGCCAGCTCACTATCACACAGCTCATCCGTATTCTCAAAAGCGATACTTGGACAGTGATCATCATCCCTGAACGGAACCCTCAAGCATTTGTACGGTATCCGACCCCGATGGCCAATTGTGTATATATGCTTTCCCATTTGGAAGGAAAGCAAACAAACCCAGAAAAGACACTTTATATGCCAGAACCTTTCTTCAGGCGCAATGAACTCTTGAAACCTTTTGGTGGAGTGTCAGCGATAAACATTGACAGAAATTCATGTACTATGCCCGCAGCGACCAGGCCTGTCGTCTCCGCTGTACCACCAGGCATCAGAATGTCACCGATTTCGGAGCAACAGCCGTACGCACCGTTCGTATCGTAAGCTGGAGCAACCTCAACAATGTCCATGCCGACAAAATTCAAACCCGCCAATCCTCGAAGAATACCGTTCAATTCACGTGGAGTCCATCCAGCAGGCTCAGGAGTGCCAGTTGCTGGTGCCGCTACGGGATCAATGACGTCGATATCCAAACTAGCACGTTGGGGTGAATCTTGGAAAATGGATCATGTATGATGACGAACCTAAGATAGATGGGCCCATCCCCAACGTGGTCACGAATGAGTTTAGCGATGCCTGCGGGACCAATATCGTCTATATCATCCGTCGTGATGATTGCGAAACCGACTTCTTCATCATTCACTAAATCATCGATATCCTGTAAGGTTTGAAAGGGTAAGAGATCGATGTTAGTGCTTTAAATAGCGTTGGGCGTGCCGTTAACTTGCACCGAATGCCAGCGTGCACACATGTCCCTTTGGCAAGCAAGCCCTGATACGAAGCAGTCCAGAAAAATGTTCCATGAGTGATGAGAGAATCTTCGCTGTTTCCGTAATATCCTTGAGCTGGCCAAGTATCCAAATGACTATCAAAGTGTATGACGGTGATCCGCCCATAGACTTTGTGAAGGGATTGAAGAATTGGAAGGACCTTGGGAAGGTTTTCTAGTGGACTTCATTGGGGTAGAAGTGCGGGGACTCACGACAGCATGATCTCCACCAAGAGTCACAATCTAATAATTAGATTGGAATCTATCCAGGATATGACAGAATATCACACAAACTCACCCGAGGGTGGTCCTTGCCATCAATAGAAAGTCTCTTCGTAACACAAGAGGACCTGATCGACTCAGTACATGGATTGGCGACCGGACGCGCAAGTAGTGTTGAATATGCAGCTGCCATTTGCGCCACTGCGATCGAGTTGTCGAAGGGGGAGATGGGAACCTGACAAATTGTGTAAGAGCTCCATCACACATACAAGAAGCACAAGCTCACATCTCCACAATCTAGCACTGTAGTGTCATTCGTTGAATATGGTGAAGCCTACGTACCATCCATCAGCATGGTAACGACAACAAAATTCAGTGCTCACACCCATCGATTTTCGAACAAAGTGGGATCATGGTATCACACTTACTTCCCAGGCGAGGCTATATCCTCTCTCACGTCTTAACCTCCTGCTTCCACTCCGTATTCCATGGGGTCCAAACCGAGCGCCAGGTCGATACGAAACGGACGTATCAAAAGGCATTCCCAGAATGGCGATATCGAATAGGTTCTTCTCTGAGCCTATATCGTCCAAACAACGAATATACGGGAGGTGTGCAAATGATAATGGTCCGCTGAAAGGCAAATCTACTTGAGGACCGAACTTAAAGGCGTATTCTTCCTCGCTGCGAGACGGCTCGACTGGTGAAGATGTAAACACTTCTTCAGTCCAGATACGAGGCTTATCCACTTGAACATGGTCATGAGTCTCGTGTTCAAGGTGTCCAAATACTAAGATTGCTAAGACTAGTGAAGCAATAAGGGGAGTCCAAAATCGTAACATCAATGAGAGCCGGCACAAAATGGAACGCGCGCAATGCCGTATTATTATCGGTGATCAACAACACGATGTTTTCTGGTCGAGTGTCGCTAAGTGCGCCTTCACCGCGCGTCCTTCGGCGTTGAGACGCAGATGTAGCCAAAAGGTCTTCGCCAGGTACCATCGATCAGTCCAAGCCGCAAGCGGCAGTCCCCGGACACACACACTCGAAGCAACAAAAGGCGGCCACCATTGCTTTGGTTCACATATGCGTTTAATTAAGCATCGCAGAGGACAAGAATCATTATGCAACAGTCTCCCGCCCGACATCCCACGTAGAACAATGGCCCAGACCATGACAAACGAAAAATGACGCAAATACATCTATATATTATTACGAAGTCATAGAGGCTGGAGTCCTGCCTAGCAAATACAGAGCAATCGGGGGACAAGAGGGATGACGTGTTCAAGTGCAGGGGCGACCCCTACTTCTGTTCTGCTCTCTAGTGCTTTGTCCTCATGGCCATTTGGGTCATTCCGTTCTTCAAGCGCGGGCAACGAAATCCGATCATCGCACACCAACTGACCAACTGGATGCCTCCTATCTCCCTATCTTATTTGGCTACTGTTGATTTTCCCATTATATCCAGTCATCCCTTGGCCACTCGAATCATGATGAGGAGAATGACTCTACGATCTCTTCCCTTGGAAGTCATGGCTTCCCTCTACTTGGCATACATCAATATACATGATTATGTCTCAAATAGGGACTACGTTGGTGTCCGTCGGGGCAGCGTGTACGGTGCCCTCATTCATATCTATGGCGACACTTCTGTGTGAGAATCCATCGTCTTCATCTCAATCCAGCTTCGCTCTCAACCCAAGATTATTCACATACAGGGGGAGACCACACCACCACTGACGGTGCGAGCTTATACAACGCAAGGGTACTCACTCTTCCACGATGACTCAGCCCTTCCTCCTCCTCACCCCTGCTACGGTCCTCAGCACTTGTGAATTGATGCTTCGATTCCTGCATGATGGTAACAGATCCCCCCTGAGAAAAAGGCATGAGAAGATTCTTTGGGAAGTGGGATTGGAATCCCGCCAGGAAGCAGGAGTTCATCCGAACGCCTCATGTTAAGAAAGTTCACCGTCTCACGATTAGGGTCAGGATTATGTTGAGAACCCCGTTTGGCACTGGTCAGAAGTTATTGAGGTCTGATGCCGTCGGCCTCTGGGCTGTCTAGGGCCGGAAACGAAAGCGTGAGCTATGGAGTCGGAATTCATTGAGGCAGTGATGCAGTCCACTGATCTTGTCAATGGACATGTCAACAAAGGCAGAACTAGGAAGGAATGAATAGACGCGGTAACTAAATTATATAAGGAAGGTGAGATATTCAACATGACCACTATGAAAAGCAGCCGTGCAACCTTTTCCACATTCCGGGGTGTTCTGAGATGCATGGCTGCGTTAGATGGGAATTTCTTTCACGTACGCGATCATTGGCAGGGTCCGCCATCCTCCTGGTCGTCCCACATTTTGTCAGGGTCGTGTCCAATTTAGAGGCTTCGGGCGACAGCCCCGTCCTGATTCGAGCTGGAACATATCATATTCTCTATTGCTTTCGATTTCAACCCGTTTGAGGCACGGCTGATTGCGACCACCCGCTGATGCCAGTATGACGTCGCGACAGCTCCCCACTATTAATATAACCTTCATTTCGCTCCAGTTGAAGTTTCGTCTGCAGTGACACCCCCAGAGGCTCACGAAAGTTTGTTTGAAGACTGCGATGTCGTTGTCCAAGCACAGTTGAGTCCTCCTGATGTTGCTTTGGGGCACTGCCGAATCCAGTGGCGTCATGCGCTGAACTTGGATTGCAGTTGACACACACGCTTTGTTCGCTCATGCGAGGGTAAGTCGAGCCCGTGGCCCATAGTACGGACATCGCTTACAATTTGGGATGGAAACCAGGACCATCCTCATCGAAAGTTTATCTCTAATCGACGCCGTGAATTCCAATCAAGTAAGGTTCCACCTCCAGTTTCACTCTCTTCTTTTTGGTGTTTCTGAGCATATTTCCGCCACATCCCTCGAAAGATGCGTACACGAATCGATATGAGATAGAGGTCAGCTTACATCCGCCACGGGCCCGAGTTGATTGACCAAACGGCTTGTGACCTAGAATGTCCCCAAGTATCGAATCCCCGTTCGTAGCACATTTCCCCATCAGGATTCATGACGTCATTGCTCGCCTGAACTAGGATACCGGGGTTAATGCCTCGGCAGCGTATCAATTGATCCATGACGAAGTAGAGCTCGATGGCTCTCCATCTCTCAATTTTGCGAGCTTTGTGCACACCTGGATGCCTGACGAGGCGTTGAAGCTGGTAGTTGAGAATATTGCCAAGTTCGTTTTGCCTTTTCCTTTTTATTGTTTTATCAGGAGAAGTTGATATTGCGATCCTCTAGGAACTTTTGTGGGTTATCTATCCATGAAGATAAGCTGATCAGATGTTCATCCCACATGCTGGTTCGATTTCGCAGCTGACCAAGATGAATATCCTGCCACGATGCAAATTCATTCACGCTGTATTTCCATGCGTGGGTATCTTTCATTCGTTGACGTTACCGAACGAATCGATTGACTAAAAATTATATTCAGTCTCTCACTTGTGGAAAGCGCCTAAAGGTTCTCATGTCATTGGAACGGCGACGGGGGGCTCTTCCGAAGCCATCATGCTAGGTTCCATTGAATTCATGAGCTGCAAGGTCAAGACTGATATACAATCCTTTATAGGTGGTTTGGCGATGAAAAAGGCTTGGGTGGAACGGCGGAAAGCCGCAGGAAAGGATTACTACCATCCAAATGTCATCATGGGTGCTAACGCTCAAGTCGCAATTGAGAAGTTTGCGAGGTACTTTGACGTCGAGGTTTGTCATTCGAAGGTCATTTCCATGTAAACGGGCCTTAAAATGTGTTCCACCAGGCTAAGTTGGTGCCCGTCACGGAGGAGGGGGGGTATGTCATGTCACCGAAGGATGCAATCAAATACGTTGATGAGAACACAATTGGTGTCTTCATCGTAAGCTGTTCATCTTCGTCTCAGGGTGACCACCATCAGATGCAACCCTTGCACAGATCCTTGGAAGCACATACACGGGTGGCTTCGAAGACGTGCAGGAGATGAATGACCTTCTGGATAAGTATGAAGCCGAGACGGGTATTAGTATCCCTATCCATGGTACGCAAATTAGATTGCTAGTGTTGGTTTAGATCAACAGTATGTGGTCTAGTGGATGCCGCTTCCGGCGGATTCGTTGCCCCATTCGGTACGCTTGCCCGTTTCGGAGCTATCCATGTAGCAGTTAGACTCACCGGCTTGCCATTGCGTGCAGTATATCCTGGATACAAGTGGGGTTGTGAGTGACTGGTTTCAAAATGATTTCATGCAGTGGATTCAACATCGTTTGTCACCCAGTCGATGTTCCGCGTGTTCATAGCATCAATACCTCTGGGCACAAATTTGGACTAACTTATGTTGGTATGTAGGAGCGGAACCACCCATCTGGCACACCGAAGCTGACGGCGAAATTGAACAGGTTTGGGATGGATACTTTGGAAAGATGAGAGTCTTCTCCATAAAGACCTCATTTTTGAGCTGCATTACCTTGGGTCTACGGAACAGTCGTACACGCTCAATTTCTCCAGGCCGAGCGCGCCCATCTTGGGTAAATATACAACCATTATTTTCGGGGTTTGCTCTGGGGCTGTTGAATGCTGACGATTGCTGTTAGCTCAAATGTTCAACTTCCTCAATCTTGGGTTCGCGGGATACAAGAACATTGCAGAAGCGGATCTTGCGAACGCTCGCCTCTTATCTCGTGCACTTGAGGAGTCAGGATGGTATAAAGTAAGTGATTGATCCGAACCAGCACCCTCTGTTCGCGAGAAAAAAGTAGATTCACTCTTGGGTGATATACAGTGCCTCAGCAATATCCACATCCCATACAAAAAATCCAGTATTACGGGTGCCATTGGCAGCGTGATAGGCGATCCTTCCGGTAGGGTCGACGAGGATAAGGCGGCATTTTATCAGAGGGGCCTGCCAGTTGTTGCGTTCAGGTGAAGACCGAATTCTGGCAGGCACTCATCCGTACAATGCTTACGCGAAAATGTGTGCACGACAGGTTCTCGGACGAGTTCAAGCAAAATTACCCTCACGTACAGCAGTCATGGATCCAGGTGAGTGATTGGGCACCTCGCGAGGTTGAGGCAATCGAGGGTACGACTGGTTGGGTTTATTTGTAGAATCTTCTGCGTCAAAAGCAGTGGATCGTTCCCAATTACAACATGCCTCCAAATGTGGAAAAGGTGGAAGTTCTCCGCATTGTTGGTGCGTTCGCCCCCATTCACCGCCGTTGCTTCTGGGCTAAGATCACCCCTAAGTACGCGAGAGCATGAACCCAGACATAATCGGTAGGCAGACTCAGACATTTTATGCATGTGATTAACGATTCGTGCCCCCTTTCGAAGAACGTGTGGCCGCGGACATATTGGAGATCACGGAGCAACTTACGAGTGCGTTAATTTGTTGGAATTATGGCATCCTTAATCCTACTTTCTGATCTCCGTTTCCCTTTTAGAAACGGACTCCGGCGTTTTCCAAATGCAACTAGCTTTTTCCAGCAGCAACCTGAGTCCCAACACTATTGAGCACGAGATTGGCAAATTCAAAGCGGAATCCGACGCACCAAGAGAGCAACAAACTTACTCCAGGATCTGCTGATCATTAACTGGTAGTACTCAGCCCTGCACATCAGGTGTGAGGTTTAAGCGCTTTGGTGTATTTCTGTACTTTGTACAATTGTAACAAGTCGGCAGGAACACTGCGACAATGAACGTAGCTCTGTATGTAACCACGGTAAAATTCCACATGGCTTGGAAATCGTACTCATCCAGCTTGCTCGAATTTTACACAAATTGACGGTAGTTCGGGATAGTGCGCCGAGTCCGAGATTTAGCCAGCCGGAACGGCGATCTTCGTGAACAATCTGAACATTTTGCTGGCACTTTCTGTAATGACCTATCCATCGCACATACTTTGCGCTTGGTGTCCAAGAAGCTATCTTGAAGGAAAGAGCCCCGTAATGGTCATGCTACAGTACTGATGATGCAGGCCTCGGAGGAATCGCCGATATTAATGCAACATCTACATATTTTGGCGGGGGTTTGGGTTACAACAGTTTTTTGCAAGTCTTTCCTGCGATCATCCAGTAGAAGAGCAGTAATCTGAGCAGCTGGTTCTAGCGCCAGGGGATGCACTTGCATAACAGCATCGAATGTGCCCTCGGAATCATCTTAGCACCTCTATGACTTCTTAATATTAAATAGAGGAATCGCTAGGAACTTCAACCCAGTAGACGTGAGAAATGCTTCTATTATGGCGATTGGCGAAGTGGAAGGGGTAGGAGTCCACCGATCATGTTAACGCGCTAATAGCGAAGGGGTTTCGAAGGCCCTCTGAGCATGACTTCCAGATACCGGCTAGCGGAGGGGAACTAGAGAACAACACCTAAGCACTGGTGAGAGCGTTGAAGCGCGTTTCCCGGCCAACCCGTATTTAGTTCGCACGCTGGGTGCAGGACACCATCCGTTGCAGAAACCGAACCAGGGGCACGTACTTGGATAGTACGCGTTTTCTGTAACTACATTCGTAATAATCTTGGTTGCCTCTTGGCACGCTTATGAATTCGCCTCTTCAACTTTTCTTCTTCTTCTTCTGAACTCAAGTCATGTCAACAAGTGCTGCACTCCCGACGACGCAGAAGAGCGCTGTGAGGGTAACTCCTGAAGCGTCTCCGAAAGCCAGAGGTCCAAATCGAAGTACTAAAGCTGCACATAAGCTGAAAGTATTACCTGAGCAGCCAGAGATAAGGACGCAAAGCCAGATCATAGCCGAGGATGGGGATGAGGAGGAAGATGGTACACCAGGGTCTCCCAGTGACCCCATGAGGAGGAGGACGATGAAGAAGCCGAGGTTCGTTGGTCGATCCGACATCCTGTTAAGAACTAACGTTCGAAACTCCTTAACAGCCTTACAAGCAAATCGCACAAATCCCGGCAGGAACCGCGCGTAAAGACGCTCTCCGTCTCACGAAGAGGGAGAAAGCCAGACTTCCGAGGGTTACCGCGTACTGCACTGCGAAGTGCGTGTAGAATTCGTCGGCAACGAGGGGCTTCGCTAACGCGGCATTGTACAATAGCTCATACCGCCTAAGTGATATTCAAAAGTTCCTGAACGCGCGAAAGACTTCTCACAGAACGGACCCAAAATTATTTGATGAGGCCATATATTCTCCATACTCCTTCGCTGGACCCCGCAGCGAGGCTGATCATCATCCCGCTCCGATTTCTGGAGATCTATTGGGCATTCCGGAGCTCGTACGGAATGACGTGTCACAACACGCCTCGCAAGCAGCTCAACCTTCTCCAAAGTCGTCACACAAGTGGCTTGTTGACGACGCCTCATATTCCCTACATCGAGTGCCTTCCGAAAGTACGGTCCGCGAACGCCGCTCGACCAAGACGGTCAAGAGACGCCCAAAATTCGACAAAGTTGGACAGGAAGGTATCGATGCTGAAGTCTTCCTGTTTGAATATGGAACAGTTGTTTGCTGGGGGATGACAGAGGGTACGATCCTTCGCCGCACTTCGATATGATGCCCCTGCGAACCTAATTTGTCAATCTCATTTAGCTCAAGAGAAACGGTTTCTGAGTTCAATGTATTCTCATTCATCTGGGATTATTCTTCTCCTAACCAATTGGCTCCCTCAGACGGCGCTTCGAACAAGAGCGTTTAGGTCGGGTGTCGAATCTATTTTCTGCAATTGTTTTTTTCACCCCCCAGGTCAGCTCCAGACGATGTCGAGAAGGAAGATCTCAATTATTATTATGCTAATTACAGCCGGTAAGCTGATCTCTTGCCATTGAGCTCACTTTCACCGCGCTTACGACCGTAGCATATATAACGATGTGATTACTCTGCGAAAAGGATCTAGCTTCATGTAAGCACGTTCACTGTACCTTGGAACGCATCTACTTCATCTCATTTGCAGGACGAAGCTCTCCCTTTCCCATGCCCTTGCGCAATCAGTGAAAATATCATTAGTAAGCGCTGGTTCAGTTGAAATATGTATTTGTTCAATTGCATTTCCCCCCGCCAGTTCGAGCAACTTATCTCCAACACAATCGAAGAGACTAAAGACATTCCTGAGGTGATGTCTAAAACTGGGAAGATTCACGTATGTCACCACCACCCATCGCAGTGTAACTTCACTGATCTTCGCCCCAGTTACATCACGATGAAATTATGCAGCAAATAGGCCAGCTTTTCATCCTTCGTATGGATATAAACCTAGTCGGCTCAGTTCTCGATTCACCGGTGAGGACTAGGTCAACTATTTCATATCCCTGTACATTGAGCCATCCTTTCACCCTTTCTGTTCTAGGAACTGTTCTGGGTAGGCTCATGATTGTCGATCCATTGATCATCCTGAGCAGACGTGAATAAGTGCCCACTTCCTGATCGGGTATTCACACGAAGTCGATTAACAGCACATGATCAGAATACACTTCGATCACCTTCCATCTCCATCATTTTCCCTCTCGCGACCCCATCAACGAACCTAACTGACAATGTCTCTCGGACTGGCAAGTATGAGCTGCAGGCCCACCCCACGTAACTCTGTTGCGATCACGGACGATCACAGATGGGACTGCCCAGGTCTCGAAGCAGCCGAAGTGTTGTCCGAGCCCTTCAAGAGAGCCCCATCCGATCCTATGTGGTTAAACGGGCAGCTGGGACCTCTCGACCCTACTTTCTCGTACGTCGCTCTGCACCACATAAGACCCGGTGCTCGATCTCTTGATCGATTGTGGCTCTTACTACCGGAATATAACCACCTCAACGAGGCCGAAGTGCTGAGAGAAAACGGGAACCAGAACGTTCCGCCTCGAGCTCTGACCCCATTGTTGGAGCGCTGGGAGTCCTCAAAGACCGCCGCGCTCAGAGCTGAGGCCCTCACGAAATTACGATTGCCTAACGAATTGAGGGAAGTAATATACAAAGTCAAGTCCAAGTCGGGTGGCGAGCACGAGTTGGACAGTCACATCTTTGCCTTCCAGTTCGCTCCCTGGCAACACCCCTTCACCATAATATCTCGCTACACCTACATACTCCGGATCATTTCCCTCCTCACCGCCTTCGTCAATTACACCTGTATCCATGAACACCTGATGGAAGCGGATGTCCAAGAGGGACGCAAGATATCCTGGTTGGAACCCCCGAAAGGAATTTTTCTCGAAGAAAGTTCGACTGATGATCGACTGACGGCAAATTCACCCGAGTTCGCTATATACCTAGCTTGTCAGCTGCCATGTCGCGTAATCAAGAATGGATTGTTCGAAGAGCTGGACCTGAGCGGACACACCGAGGCTGCTCGTAATTATCGACTCCCGTTGGCTCAAGGGACTGAAGTTCCTTGGTTCCTCGACTGGCCCAGATGGGAAGATGCGCCCGAACCATTGCCTGGTGCTGAAGACAGGGAGGCCTACGAATTCCGACTCGTGTGGCCTGGTCCGCCCCCATCCAACAAGGACCTGTCCACCCTCAAGTTGGTGGAGAAACGTCGTCAGAGCCGGACATTCTACTACCCGGATACCGGACACTTCATGACTCGCGCCGAGGCACAAGAGGTGGTCATGGATGATGCTGAGCAACAATTGGCACAGCCAGATTCACCGACTCCTTTCGACGAGGGCTCAGACGAGCTGACGTCAGGAACATTGGGCTTGAACCTAGGAGCCGCTTCCATACCGCCTCCCTCTCCCAACTGGCTGGGTGCGGGGAGTTCAGTCTTCCTACCTCCTCTGAATGTGGCGGTGCCGCAACCAAGCGTTCATCCCACTAACACCCCATCCGCCCTTTCCACTGACAACTCTTCCGCCTCATCCTCTCCCTCAGGTTCGTTGAACCAAAACCGCTGGAGGAAATTGCCTTGTGAAGAGAGAAGATCCCATCCGTATCCCAGCCGAAGAGAAGGATCAGTCTCAGGTCACTTGGGACAGGCTCGTTGGCAAATGGGGAACGAAACCCGTCGAACTCGGATGGACTCTTATCACCCCGAACCTAGTCGATCCGACTACGACAGAGATGTCGATAGAAGGTGGTCTTCTCGACCTACGTCTCGAGAATCGATTGCTCGAAGGGATAGCCGCCCTATCCCGAGAGACTCGAGTCCCGATCCTTCCCCTTCTAGTATGGTACCGTATAGCGCCGGAAGGCCACAGTCAATCCCGCAGACGCCAACTTTCGTGATGCCAGTCAATCCTACGTGGGTGGTGGACAGCAACACCAACACCGCCATGCCTGCCTTCGTCGTCAACCTGGCAGCTCCTCCTACGACTGTTCATCCTCCTCCTGTGGGCCGGCCCTACCCCCCGCCCGTGCAGTACCCAGGATCGGATCCACACCCATCCTCCTCTGGTGGAGCTCAATACGATTCCCTCCATCCGGATTCCTATCACGAGCGCTCGAGAAGCCGGTCACCATGGAGAGATGACCCGCAGAGATACACCCCTTGGGGACCGCGTCATGGTCGTTAGGAGACTGGGGGGCGATGTTACGGATACGGAGTCTCCAACGACCATATCCGTCACATGGTCAAAGACTTCTCCTCATTATCGTTCCTCCCCTCTTTCTCCCTTCCGTCCTCTATCCCGACACCCTATCCTCCTTATCCGTTCTACCCCTTTCCCCCCCCCTCGTGCAAAGCCTTCCCCAACTGGGGTTTTGGTGCTGGCCGAGGTTATTTGTGTTTCGTGGGATTTCCCGCGACCTTACCATTTGTAGATAGTCACGCATCTTGTACGGAAACCGCCGAAGGCAGTTCCCGCTAACTAACAACTGCTCTACAACTGTCTCGTGTACCGTCTTCTGTAACAACCCTCCCTGTGACTCAACTCAACCTGTGTGACTGTACAACTCTCAATATGTCTTATAAGTCTGGTTATATCGAGTCCTCTAACAGCCCTCGCCGCGAGAACTCGAAGTCGAGAGTCGAAGACTCTCAACATGTGTATCGTCCTATTGAACCTGTACCCTATGGGTCTTCATCACTCCGCTCTTCCCCCAGTACTCAACATACGACGTCCCATCACGATCATGGTGATCGTGAACACTATGAGGCCCACTTACCCACGATGCCGGCACGTTCGCTATGCGAACGCCAAGTAGCCGCCCATCCACCGTCTGTTTCTTCCTTTGCCAGTCATCATATGTCCCCGCCAACGGTATGTTCCCTTTGGGAATGCCAAGTCACCGAAGGCCCTAATAGTCAGCCCTCATTGCACGCCTATGATATCAACCCGCTACCAGTACATTCGCACTGCGAACGCCAAGTACCCGATGGCAACTACGTGAAGTTCTCACCCATCTCACCAGTTGCGACCTCGCACACAGTACGCTCCATTGAGGAGCGCCAAGTATCCGTGGCTGACCCATCTGTCCTGGTATCTCCGACTACCTATCATCAATCCCTTAATAGCTCACTACATCACCCATCGCGATCGATGGGAATTCGATCGTCCACTCCCAGGTCAGGCTGGGATCACTCATCGATTACACTTCCAGTTATGGTACAAACTAGACATGACCCTCGTCTTCCCACTATAAGAACGGATCGAGGAATGGGGAATTTCCCCCATCCCCGTAACACTTCCGGACTACCTCTGCTCCTTCTTCACTAACCTCGGAGCTCCTGTATCCTGCAATCACCTCCGCCTCCCTCGATGGTCACCACCCCCTCTTTTCAATATATTACCTACGCCTCCCTAAGTACGGAGCCCCGAAGGCCTCTGGACAGCTCCGACATCTGCTGGTGCACTCCCACCTCCGCTGGGCAATTCACTTGCTTGCCCTGCAAGTCCACCTTCAGGCCTATCCCTCCTTTCCATTTTTGGGTTAACACCTGCCATTCCACTAACCCTGTAACCTGATGTGTCGGTAATATTCAATCGGCTAATGTTTAACTCCGTTAGCTCTGCTCCGCTTGGCCCCACCATTCATGGGCCCACCCTTGCTGTAACTATATATATACTTAACTTGTACATAGGTTACACCTCAGTGATAAAATCGACTAGAGTTGATCCCTCTTTAGTTCTCATTGCCAGTAAGTAAATTAGGGCATGGACGTGTAACTTGGCACTGCGTGTCATATCCATCCCTGGCCATCGACTTCCGGTCCCTCTGATCCCTCTGGTCTACCTCCGCTCCTTCTTCACTAACCTCAGAGCTCCCATATTCCGCAATCCCCTCAGTACCCCTCGATGGTCACCACCCCCTCCTTTCAATTTATTACCTACGCCTCCCTAAGTACAGAGCCCCAAAGACTTCCGGACAGCTCCAACGTCCACTAGCACACTCCCGCCTCCGCTGGGCAATACACTTGCCTGCCCTGCAGAGCCCACCTTCGGGCCTATCCCTCCTTTCCGTTTCTGGGTTATCACCTGCCTTTCCGTTAACCCCGCGACCCGACTTGTCGGTAATATTCAGTCGGCTAATGTTTAACCCTGTTAGCTCCGCTCCGTTCGGCTCCGCCATTTGTGGACCCGCCTTCACTGTAATCATATATATATCCAACTTGTACATAGGTTACACTTCAGTAATAAAATCGACTAGAGTTACCCCCTTTCGGTTCTGGTTGCCAGTTAGTAAGTTAGGGCACAGATGTGTTACTTGGCACAGCGCTCTTGGCATAAGTCGCTGAGGCCGAAGCCCTCTGCCATGGAGACTTTCCCTCGTCTCAACCTGGTCTCTGACACAGCGCTCCTGGTCTGAGTCGCTGAGGCCGAAGCCCTCCGCCACAGAGATGACTCCTTCATCTCGATCCAGTCTCTAACACACCCTCCCCATAACCTGAGTCATGGGTAACATTCAGTTGGCTGACCTGTGATCCAATTATGTCAGCCCTGCCCAGCTCCTGCCATTTATGGGCCCTGCCTAGACTTCCCATGTATCTATATGTACATATATACCTAACTTGTAGATACTGGTAACCTCAGTCAGAAAATCAACTAGAGTTTCCCCCTTCCTAAGAAGTGTCAGGGTTCAGCACCCTGCCCTAGGGTGCCCCAGACTCCCCAACCAATCCCTTCCTTCCATTCCTTCATTGTTGCCTTGTTGTTGCCTTTCTGTGTTGTGTATCCACACGCACAAGATAGCATGGGAACTTTCTGAGCAAGCAGCTTGCCCAGAATGTTCCCACGCTTACTGGGCACTGCCACCTGGATGTTCCCTCCAGGTCACACTACACAACTCTAGGAGCTGTATAGTTGTGGGCATGTGACCCATTCCTTTATATAGCAACCATGTGGGGAGATGAGACCTTTACCCTTCTTCTCATCTCATGCCTTGCATAGGCAAGTGTATATATTTCACTCTCTTTTACTATACATCTCATGCCCCGCATAGTGTGAGGACAGGTCAGATGGGGGTTGAGGTCAGGGAGCCTCCGAGTCCAAGGCTGGGCCCTGACGAGAAGACTCCATCCATAAATTAGGGCAGTGACATGTTACTTGGCACAGTGCTCCTGGCAGAGTCGCTGAGGCCATAGCCCTCCAATATTGAGTCCCCCCCTCCTTTGGAATTGTCAGGGTTCAGCACCCTGCCTTAGGGTGCCCCGGACTCCCCACCTACTTTACCCCCTTTTATTCTTTGACTGTTCCCTTGTTGTTGCCTTTGTGTGTTGTGTACATGCGCGCGCACGGGATAGCGTGGGAACTTTCTGAGCGAGCAGCTCACCCAGAATGTTCCCACGGGTCACAGCCACAGTTCTGGGTGAGCAACTCGCCCAGAATGTTCCCACGCTTACTGGGCACTGCCACCTGGATGTTCCCTCCGGGTCACACTACACAACTCTAGGAGCTGTATAGTTGTGGGCATGTGACCCATTCCTTTATATAGCAACCATGCGGGGAGATGAGACCTTTACCCTTCTTCTCATCTCATGCCCTGCATAGGCAAGTGTATATATTATCTTTCCTTTTACTATACATCTCATGCCCCGCATAGTGTGAGGACAGGCCAGATGGGGGTTGAGGTCAGGGAGCCTCCGAGTCCGAGGCCGGGCCCTGACAGGAATCCGCATCTCTGACAGAAGGTAGTGGTTCCTTCCCCCTTTGGGTCTTGCCCCATTCCCCTAAATCCAGTTTCTGACAGCCACTGTAAGGGATTAACCTTACTTCACTATAATTCCCATTATAGTGATGTGGTTATTTCTTTATTTATTTGTGCCGAGATATGTAATTTACATATATATACCTCGGAGTAGTTGTAAAGGCCCGGTAGCCTTTTACCTCTACCCCGTTGAATATACAGCACATTAAAGCTTATATTTAGACGGACTACCTGAGGCCTGAGGCAAACGGGGGAACGGAACGTACCGTCCCCAAAATAGTAAGCAAACCTTTCAGCCACCAAACACTATCCCCAAATTGGCCAGCTATAACAACAACTTCCCCATATATTTGCCACTCAAAAACTCAGGGCTATGAGCTGGAGTGATGTGAGGCCCTGGCCCATGTCTATATTCCGCCCACAACATCAGTTGATGTTGTGTTGTGTAATAATTATGTCGCAACGCTAATTTAGCATCGCGGAAGCTTCTCTATTTATTTGTGCCGAGAATGTATAAGATTGTATATAAACCCTCGGGGTAGCTGTAAAAGGCAGATTAGCCTTTACTTCTACCCCATCAATATACAGCCAAATCAAGTGTATACTTAGACGGATTACTGAGGCCTGAGGCGAACGGGGGAACGGAACGTTACCATCCCCAAACTAGTAAGATAACCTTTCAAGTGACTATTGTAGAGCAATACACTGTAATGTATAAACCACAAGCTTAGTGACCCCCAGTGTAACACTGCATCCATTCTAAACCATGAACAAAGCATTGCATGTCAAGTTGAGTTGGCTGAGCTCCTATAACCATGCGGGTATGGGGCCAGCATAGGCCAAAATGATGCTCTGGTGGGACCCAAAAGAGAAGCAGTCCATTGGTTGTAGTTGCCCAGCCATCATCATGAAGCAAACCACCTGAGAACCATGGTGCTCCATTCCCTGAAATGGCAGCATCAGTTAGCATGAATATATTACCACAATTGAGACATACAGTGGGCTGCCCCTGCCAGCAGAGGTGATGATTGAACCATCTCATCCATCAGTGCCCAAATTCGAACTCTCTTGTCAAAAGAGCCTGAGACAATGCATGTGCCATTGGAAGAGAATGCAACTGATGTGACCCAGTCAGAGTGCCCTTGCAGAGGCTCACCAATCAGTGCCCCTGACTTGGCATTCCAAATTCGAACTGTCTTGTCAGAAGATCCTGAGATGAAGTGGGTTCCATCAGAAGAAAATGCAACTGATCTGACTGAGCCAGAGTGCCCTTCCAGAGGCTCACTAATTAGATCCCCTCCCCTGGCATCCCAAATTCGAACTGTCTTGTCATCGGAACCAGAGATGATGTAGGCACCATCAAAAGAGAATGCAATTGATGCAACTGAGCGAGAGTGCCCTTCCAGGGGTTTGCCAACCAATGCCCCTGACTTGGCATCCCAAATTCGAATTGTCTTGTCAGAAGAGCCTGAAATGATGCGGGTGCCATCAGATGAGTATGCAACTGATGTGACTGACTGAGTGTGCCCTTCCAGAGGCTTGCCAATTTGTGCCCCTGACTCAGCATTCCAAATTCGAACTGTCTTGTCAAAGGAGCCTGAGATGATGTGGGCACCATCAAACGAGTATGCAACTGATGTGATGGAGTGAGTGTGCCCTACCAGAGGCTTGCCAATTTGTTCCCCCAACTTGGCATCCCAAATGCGAACTGTCTTGTCAAGAGAGCCTGAGATGATGCGAGTACCATTGGAAGAGAAGGCAACTGATGTGACTGCATGGGAATGGCCTTCCAGAGGCTTGCCAATTGGTGCCCCTGAGATAGCCTCCCAAATTCGAACTGTCTTGTCAGAAGATCCTGAGATGATGCGAGTGCTGTCTGAAGAATATGCAACTGATGTGACTGAGCCAGAATGCCCTTGTGGAGGCTCATCAATTGGTGCCCCTGAGACAGCATCCCAAATTCGAACTGTCCTGTCATCAGAGGCTGAGATGATGCGGGTGAAGTTGGGAGAGTATGCAACTGATGTGACTGAGCGAGTGTGCCCTTCCAGAGGCTCACCAATTGGCACCCTTGACATGGCATCCCACATTCGAACTGTTTTGTCATCAGAGCCTGAGATAATGCGTGTGCCATCAGAAGAGAATGCAACAGATGTGACACAGTCAGAGTGCCCTTCCAGAGGCATGCCCAATGGTTCCCCTGATTCAGCATCCCAAATTTGAACTGTCTTGTCAGAAGAACCTGAGATTATGCAGGTGCAATCAGGAGAGAATGCAACTGATCTGACTGAGTCAGAGTGCCCTTGTAGAGGTCCACCAATTGGTGCCCTTGATACAGAATCCCAAATTCGAATTGTCTTGTCAGAAGAGCCTGAGACAATGTGGGTGTCATTGGAAGAGAATGCAACTGATCGGACCGAGTCAGAGTGCCCTTCAAGAGCCTCTCCAATTTGTGCCCTTGCCACAGCATCCCAAATTTGAACTGTCTTGTCTTCAGAGCCTGAAATGATTTGGGTGGCATCGGAAGAGAATGCAACTGATGTAACCGGTCCACGGTGCCCTTCCAGGGGCTCACCAATTGGTGCCCCAGACATGGCATCCCAAATTTGAACTGTTTTGTCATCAGAGCCTGAGATGATGCGTGTGCCATCAGATGAGAATGCAACCGATGTGACTGAGCCAGAGTGCCCTTTCAGAGGCTCGCCAATTGGTGCCCCGGACACAGCATCCCAAATTCGAACCATCTTGTCATCAGACCCGGAGATGATGCGGGTGCCATCGGAAGAAAATGCAACTGATGTGACTGAGTCAGAGTGCCCTGGAATTGTCTGACGAATTGCAGGCCATCGATCGGAAATCCGTCCTCGGACAGAAAGAGTGTTCCGGAATGCATTATGCACATAATGTAGAATAGGAGATTGAGAAGGTGAAAAAGGCAAAGCCGACAGATAAATGTGCGGCAGGCTCTGACTGATTGGATACCCAAATGCATTCACAAATCGGTGTGCTTCCGAGATAATTTCTTCAAGTCCTCGCGCATAATTCTATGCAAATTCAATCAACCAATTATCGCCATTACACATGGCAAAAGTGGCCTACCCTAGCCCAACTGACCAACCTCCTTAGAATCACGTATATTATAGACATCCGGTCCGTCACACTGAATACCTCAATCCAGTATAGGAAGCGGTGATGGAAAAAATTCATAACCGTATCCGCAAGAGGATGCAAGCCTGGCTCGGACACAGATCCACATTCCAGATGGTCTCCCCAGTATTGGCTCGCATACATGAGTACAGGCGCTATAGCCCGTGTGACACGCTCCTGAAGTCCTTCGATTTCTTTGTTTCGGCGATAGGACGTCTTGATCTCACAGATGTTAAATTTGAGATCTCGCTGCATGATCTGGAGACACCCAGATGCGAGGTCACGGTGATGAGTGGATGTGTTGATGTACCATTGCAGATCCTGACACCGTCTGAGGTCGCACAGAAAATCGGTGAAAGATGTATGCAAGACTTGAACAGGGCGCCCGTAACCCCTCTCCCCCCTCAGTAGTGGTTGCAACTTCGAGAGTATAGTTTGGACATCGCGTATCCCCAATCCTAGTAGTTGACGGAGCTGCTCATCCGTTAGCTGCTCACGGGCGACTACGATTGCACCAAGGATGGAATTTACGGATTTAAGTTCACTTTCGGTGTAGGACTCAAATAGATAAGTAAGCGCGACTCGGTACAACTTGTCCAGCCCAGTGCCCGGGCCGTGCGCTGATCCAGCTAACACTTTCCCCAACCTTTCTTCAGGAAAATCGGATTCAATGAAGCGAATGGTCGTAGATGCCCAGATGAAAAGACCTCCGGACAGAGTAACAAGCTTATCTATTATGGGTTGTGTCGGCCAATCGGATGGCAGACGATGCTTTGCGAAAGTGTCGGTGTGGCTGGCAAGACGTTGTTGGAAAAGTAGCTTGATATCGGATGAAGTCGACTCATCGTCGATCGGTGCGCCCCGCACGCCGACGTCAAGGCGTGATAGGGCAGCGTGAATGTCGTGCTCGTCCCTGCTGGCTATCAACAACCGGAACATGCTCGGGAGCCTCGCAAGACCTTCAGAGAGCGTGCGAAGGAGATTCCTCCTCGTTCCTGCAGTGCCGCACTCATCAAGAGCATCAAGGACGATTACAATAGGACCCATATCGCGGTTTCCAGCGAGCTTGGTCAGAGGCTCCTCGAGAAGATGCTTGAATTGCATGTCGAGGGATGATGTAGAAATGCCGGGAGAATTCTCGATGTGTGCTGCTAGTTCTGCGCCAATTATGGGATTGAAGCGAGCCAGCTGGAAGGCAAGAGTATGAATCACACGGAGGGGGTCACTATTGACAGGGTCGTTTCGATCCCAGAACAGAAAAGCGCCGCATCGGCGCAGCTCTGAAAAGTGTTGGGCAACTGAGTTGAGTATCGTACTCTTGCCGGATCCAGCCGGTCCACGAAACCAGATGATGTTAGGACCGGAAGGATCTGTCAGAGAATCAATGAGGTTTTCCAAGATGGCCACTCGAGTCCCAGGTAAACATGTATCCCGGTTTCCGGCATTCATGGTCGTAGGGTTCAAGGCTTTCAATGCTTCGGCTTCAGCTGAAATCGTCAAGTTAAGCGGTGGCTTGTGCACGAGAATGGAGGTCATCGCACCAAGTTTTTCCACGCCCCTAGACATTCGAGCCGAGATGAATGCCGTGTGAAACGCCACCCCAAGATGAAGGTCCTCCTTGAGGTTTTTCAGCACCTGTGAGAGGTTCGAGATAGCTTGGGAGGTGTCTGAGAACGGTTCGCGCACTAGTCGCCCTGTGTACATTGGTCGTCCCACACTGAGCGCAGCAACACAGCGAACGAACGATCAACCCACCTGCGAACCCATGGGACACATACTGCTTAATAAAAATACCGCATTCAGTCATTTGAACAGAGATTTGGATGATAACGTGCTCGAGGGACTTGATTTTGTTTTTCAGCTCGTTGACATCATCGACGAATGAATAGAGATCGCCCATGGAGTCTACGAGATCATGGAGTGCGACATCCCTCTCAATCTGTCCTCGAACGGCCTACAACAACCGCTCAAAATCGTCAGGCACGCAGGTTCGGGCCATGATAAGAGAAATCCATACTTGGTAAGCCGAATCCAAGATTTTCCAAGCAATATTTGCGTAAGGATGGAGCTTTTTAACAACATCAGCGCAAACACACGCCAACATGGGACAACGTGTACCATGGCTGTTTTATCGACACAATCCGCTACGACCTTCGTCTTTTCGACTACTTGTTTGAGCGCGGTCACGACACGGCTACCCATATCTCGGGCTGCAGCCACCGAGTCAATATGATTTTGAATCTGCCTAGGAGGCAGCCCTCGGTCAACATCACGGATAGCTTCATCGACAACGGCGTTAGGGGCATGTGCCGTAACATCCTGCAGCCCTATAACGAGCGAGCCTGCCTCTCGGCCTCGTTTGTCACGGAGTGCGAGTGTAGTTCCTGCAGCAATGTAAAACAGGGACTACACAGGGAGAGAAGATGAAAAATAGCCGACTCACGTTCGTTATTCCCGCATTGATCAAGCAACTCCTCTACCTTGATGTCCACGGAACCAAGCAATGCGGGAAAATTCAGCTTGCGGGATTGCTTGAGGTGAAGGGATAGGACGGAAGACAATCCTGCAGTCCTGAACCATGTGAATTATCTGGTCTGATCTACTTTACTCCTCGCGAGAAACCTACAGAAAACAGGTGTGCTCCCAAGTTGGTGTCGGGCCTTGTTTTGCCTCAGTTTTCTCAAGTTTCTTCTCCGACAGTGTAGGCCTGACATAAAGCGTCTGGGCTGGGGACGTTTCCCTGATATCTCTAGCCTCAATGACTGCTCGAGAATGAGGATATGCTATAAACACCACGGCAAGGATGTGACGCACTGGCCAGAGAGTAAACGTGCACGAATTCTCCGCGGGTTGTCATGGCGGACTGCTAGTAGGTTTGAGCCTCCGCTGTGAGTGGATAGAGGAAGCGGCAGACCTCGTTGGACTAAATGCTGGTCCCTTTGACCTCATTAGAACCCATTGAATATGAGTATCCCCAAACGAGCGTTTGGCCAAAGCTGGTAATCCTCGTTATCTTTGACCTATTGGACGCGTTCTCTCACAGCGATATGTAAGGAAGGTCAGTATGTGCATACACATAAGATCAATCAGCCAAATTCCTACTGCCTATTACTGTACCCGCACGATCAATTACCGGTCACGCATCACACGCACCTTCCGATCCGGCTGTAAGTGGGCTGTTGTCACGCATCACACTGACCTTCCGGTTGAATGATCCTTGTCACACCATTTTTTTTTGGTGCCTAAGTGGCTGTGTGAAATCGGATTAAATTCAATGAAAACAAAAGCCGTCTGCAAGGAAGTAGTTTTTTTGGTGTAAAATGTATCAACACGAAAATTTGCCAGTTGGACATTTCCAGCGCCACTGTGGCTGGTGTCACACCAACTTTGCCACCTCTTCCGGTTGCTTGTCACACGTCACAAGGAGAAGCCGGTTGACTATTTTGTGTCACACTCGGAACCTCAGCCGGTAATTGGTCGTGCGGGTACAGTAGTTACACTTTTGGGCTGGGTTTTCCACTTTTATGGGGGGCTCCGGATGGTGGCGTGACAAGTGCCAACACTCGTTACCCAACGAGGATGGCTTGTATGTCTTACCTGTAGTGGAGTTGGCCGAATTTATTCGTCTATCTAGTCTAAAGTCCGAAACCAACACACCCACCGCTGTGGTGACCTGCCTATGTACAAAGCAATAATTTTTGTTGGTAAATTTCGCGCCCCCTCTAAATCCAGCATCAGTGTGGGAACAAATTGTGGGAGTGATCAAAATGCAAAGTTGTGACGTTTAAGTTAGACATGTGATAAATTGTATTCGGCGTCTTGATATAACCAGGCTACTTTGTTATGAGGGTTCCCCTCAATCTGGATGGCCGAGTTTGCAGCGCCTAATAATTCTCATTTTCATGCAAATTAACTGACTATCCCCAACCTCAGCCTGCAAAACAAGTAGTACATTTGGATCTGTGTGCACGACATGTCCTGGTCATTTCCCACGGAGTAGCCACTTCTCACGGGGTGGCCAATCAGGTGTACAAGGTGTGGCTGTTCCGGAATACTGGAGCAGCCTCCGGCAACTCCCATCAGCCACAGACAGAAAAAATGGTGATCGTATATATCGGGAAAAACTCAATGATCGACGTTTTAGGGAAATGATGAGCGCTTCATAAATAGGCCGGCGAGATCACGAAAGGAACAAAGGGAAGAAGAGATCGTATAGGATAACCGGTGACGCGGTTTCCTATTCCAGCCAAGACAAATACTTGTCCAAGTCACGCTCCTGAGGCTTCTCCAGCCTTTCGCCCTCCATCACACAACCTTCATCTCGGACCTGGCGTTGGTTTCATCACCTTGTTCTTGTCTGTCTGTGTTCTCCTTTCTTCGGCTTTTTGCCTTGGGACCCTCTTCCTCCGCATGTTGGACATCCGTCAGCCTCGCGCTCATCATCCCACTTATATAGTTATGCCTTCTTAGTCTCCTCAACCTCCCTTTTGATTGTTTCCGCTTCGACAGTGGTGTATCAACACACATGACGTTCCTAGGTACGGCGGTCAAGGTGAGTTTACCGTGTAACTGGCGAGTTCCCTCCCTTTGTTTCGCGTCAATATTGTTTCTCATTCCCTCCCAGGCGCGCACGGGGGCCGCTTTCATTGATTGATTTATATATTTATGTAACGAAGCACTCTTCGGTTTCTCTCTTTCCATCACTGCCTTCTCTCCCATCAGCAAACTCGGAGCGTTCTCCTGGAGCCAAGGGAGCACAGGGGAGCATGAGGTCCTTGCCCCCTCTCAGGGCAGCAGGAGCAAGAGCTCCCCTAGCTTCAGAGCCCTGGTCTCTCACGGCTCCTGTGAGATCTCGGTATAATGTTCACCAGATTCCCATTCTCTTGTGGTAACTGGGTATAGCGCTCAACCTACTCCTATTCCTTCCCAGTTTCTGTCCATTTCCCGGTTGATATATTGCAAAATTTTTAAAGGACTTTCAAAACATATTCTACTAGTCAGGATCGCTCCATCTACCAATGTTCCCACATTGCTTATCCGCAGCAGCAATAATGATACCATTTTTCTCCTTGTACAGGTGCTCTTTGTCCAGCACATGCCTATTAGAACAATTTTCATGAGTTCTCAAATATGGCAAATGAGTCCTAACTCATTGTGAGGTCTCAGGGGGGGGGTTGCTCAGCACATGTAACCATAAGTGCTACAATGGTGTGTTAAGCAGTGCCACCTGGTCACGTGACTACAAATACTATTGGAATATCAATGTGCATGCGTACTGATATTTTCTTTATTGACGCGATATCAATTGAGGATATCGTATATACCTTTTTGTCTTGATGCACTCTTCATTGCCGGTTATAGCAGGCAGTCGCTATAAGCGATATTAGCGCTAGGTGTATAAAACACACTGTGTGCGGAAATTTTTCACACCCCCTCAGTTCTCTTGTTCGAGACTGAGGTGATATCCTTTTTTTTTTACTTTATTCCTTGTATGCGAGTTCTGACTGTATTTACAGACTGCGCGTATAGGTAAAGGAACAATAAACTCAGTTCTCTTGTTCGAGACTGAGACCGCGCGTATAGCTTATTTACTTTAAATACAACCTGGTAGATGTGACTTGGGGGTGTGGGGCTAATGCCCTGACATTCTGTGTTGCTTATGTGATGCACACATGGTTAAGAATATTTAAGAAAAAAAATTGAATTAGACTTTTATTCAATGAGTGCCACTTTGAAGTGGGCGATGTGTACAAGAAAGAGAGAAAGACAAATTAATAAAGAAATTAAAGATTGTGGGGCATTACTTTGAAGTCAATGGCAAAACATGGGCATGCAAGAGAGAAGAAGAAATTTAGTAAGTATCTTTTGTTGGAGAAACCATCAGGGATTGGGTACCCCCCCTGTGTCAGGGCACACCCTGACTAGCCTGGACCTGGACCTGCATCTGGACCTGCTACACTTCCCACATGTGCACTTCCCACACTGCATGCTGCACACACCGCATGATCTGGCCCCAGATCCTACCTCATGTACTTCCAGGTATCCCCGGAAGTTTTTGCCATATTGGGCCACTGTGGGAAAGTGAGAAGTTAACCCTCTTCTCACTTTCTTACCCACAGTAGGCAAGTGTACATTACTTGTGTTAGAACTGGGCGAGGGCAGACGATTCTGGAGGGGAACCAGAGACTTAGCAAGGAGGGACCTTGGCCTCAGTGACTCATGCGGAGTGCTGTGCCATTGCTGTTTGTCCATTTGGTCCTTAATTTCAGAAGCAGTGAGCAGGAAGTCTCTAGGGGGCATTTCAGGTCAATTTTAGACTGGAGGTCCAAAATGAGTATGTACAAGCGCCTTTATATAGTAGAGAGACGATGGCACAAGGAAATCAAAGAGGATCTGATCAGGACAAAGGTGTCTGAACAGAGACAAAGGGGTGATTGTCAGGGATGCGTCCGGGGTAGAGGAGGCCCGGGTGAGACGCCCAACACTGGATGTCTCGCGGGGTGTGGAGCGGGCATGCATACTGGTGGGCCCGGCTCAGGAGGCAGTCCCTGGCCACTTAGACTGAAGTGGAAAAGGGTGAGAAGAAGGCTACTTCTTCGGTTCCCACTTCAGGTATGTTTATATACATGTGGCTTAGGTCACATGACGGGTGCCACGTCATCCTCGCATACAGCTGTAGTCACCCGGGTGTCCCTGTGGGGGATCCCAAGGGCATCTGCTGTGAACGTGCGAGCTGGACATAGCAGGGGTCGCCTGAGGCGCCTGGGCTGGGCGTGTCGTGAGCGTGCTGTGGGTGGGTCAATGGTACATTGATACAAGGAAAGGTCGTCCATGTAGAATAAAGAGAAAATAAAGAGAAGGTGAAATAAGTAAAGAGGGAGTGGAATGGAGAAAGAAGGAAAGAAAGAAGAAGGGGGGAGGAGGTAGGGGAAGACTGGGTGGTGGGGTACCGGGTGAAGTGGGGCCGGGTGGGGCCGGGTCAGGCAGGTGTGCCCTGACAGTGATGGAAGCAGAGTGGTACCGAAGGTCATGGGTTGACTCTGTGGTACATCTGAAAGGAGATAGGGAGGGCAGAGCCCAGAGGGGCAGGAGGATGAGGTGAAGTGGGGATGATGACTAACTGGCTAAAATGGGAGGAAGCAGTAGTCCAAATAGGGATGAGGGAAAAGTGCGAAAGATACATTACAAGCAGCGAAAGTGCCAAGTATGATCTGTGGAGCTTGGAGGTTGTGGAGCTTATGGAGGTTGCAGAGGTGGGGTTGTGTTAGAGACTGGATCGAGACAAAGGAGTCATCTCTGTGGTGGAGGGCTTCGGCCTCAGTGACTCAGACCAGGAGCGCTGTGCCAAGTTACATGTCCGTGCCCTAATTTACTTACTGGCAACGAGAACTGAAGAGGGATCAACTCTAGTCGATTTTATCACTGAGGTGTAACCTATGTACAAGTTAAGTATATATATAGTTACAGCAAGGGCAGGCCCATGAATGGCAGGGCCGAGCAGAGTGGAGCTAACGGAGTTAAACATTAGCCGATTGAATATTACCAACACATCGGGTTACAGGGTTAGCGGAATGGCAGGCGTTAACCCAGAAACAGAAAGGAGGGATAGTGTCAGGGCAATAGCCCCGAACCCTGAGCCACATGTAATTAGATACATATAGTCACATGGGTAAGTGGGAACCTCCGGGTAACTGCTTACACACTACCATAAAATACACACACTTGTATCACTTACAGCTCTGTGTGCTGAGCTACCCTGAGACCTCACACTTTTTTAAGTGTATGAGGTGTGTTTTACAACACAACCCACAAAAACTAATCAAACTTAACATCTGACTCGGTAGCGCCAATGGCACCTAAACATGCCCCCAAAGGCAAGGTCGCATCTGCAGCGATGCTAAAAAGAAACGAGTGGTTCATTAAGAAACTGCAATCTCCCATCATGGGAGATTCAAATCAACAGCCGTCGTCAGACGACGATGAGGATCAACATGATCTGGCAATAGCAACCACCTCAGGGCTGGCCCATGAAGGTTTTAGAAACTTACGTGGAGTAAGTGCGGGGCCTAATACCCCTAGAACTCCACGATATACTGATCTAACCCAAGCTGGGGAAGATCCTTCACCTCCTCACAAGGTGATTGACTTGTGCAATAAACGTGTAAGCGCCAAACGATCAGCCCAAAAAGCTGATCAGATAGAGTTGCAGGAAACCCCAGGGCCCAACTATCCCCTGGAGTCCTCCCTCATGTCCCCAAGTCAAGCCCCAAAGGCAGACAAAGGGAAACAAAGGGAAGAACCCCCATGTTGGCTATCCGAAAAACTACTGGACTTGTTCCAGGTTCTGTCTGAATGGAGGACAGAAAGCGAAGACCAACTTCTTCTCAGGCTGAAAGCCCAAGAAGGCATGAAAAAACGCCATGAGAGCAGGATCTCCCAGAGCGCGGAAGCTCCAAAAGAACTTCCGCTGTTTACACTCCCACACACCATGCCAGACTGTCAGGGCACACCTGCCTGACCCGGCTCCACCCAGCCCAACCTGACCCGGTATCCCGCTGGTCCACCCTTCCTTACCTCCTCCCCCTTTCCCCCCTTTCCCCCTCATCCTTCCCTCCTCAGTTTCTCCTTATCTTACTTCTTCTTTATTCTCTCTTTATTCTACATGGATGACTTTCTCTGTATCAATGTACCATTGACCCATCTGCAGCGTGCCCACCATGTACCCGGCCTGGGCACCTCAGGTGACTTCCTGCTGTGCCCAGCACGCGCACCTGCACCGGATGCCCTCGGGATCTCCCACGGAGATACCTGGGTGGTTACAGCTGTGTGCAAGGGTGACGTGGCACCCATCATGTGATCCAAGCCGCATGTATATAAACGAACCTGAAGTGGGAACCGAAGAAGTAGCCTTCTTCTCAACTTTCCACTTCAGGTAAGTAGTACAATATCTCTCCTTTAATGATAATACAACTTTCCACTTCAGTCCAAGTGGCCAGGGACCACTGTCCCACATCGGGCCTGTCAGTACGCACGCCCAATCCACCCCCTGCCAACCTCTCAGTCCCCGATGCCACACCTGGGCCCCCTCGACCCCGGACGGGTCCCTGACACAGACAAGGCAAGGTCGCCAACCTTGGAGGAGGTCTCCGAGATAATGAAGAGGAGGCGAACTGAAATGAGGGAGTTCACTGAGGAAGCCTTACGGAAAAGTAAGGAAAAACCAGCGAACAGACCCCTCCATGAAAGGGAAGCACCCTCCACAATGGCCTCACCTAAACAAAGCGAGCATGGAGTGTTCACTCCAAGAACCCCTTCTGGAACCCCCAGAAGCGGCAATGTCAACTGGGGAGAGTCACTGCTCACCCAACCAAACTTCCTCCTGGAAAACCAGGAATCGCACATAATAAATGCGATAAACTTGATCCAAAAAAAGATCAAGGAAACAAACCACAATAGTACAGCTCATCTGGAGATAACTCTAGAAAGAATGGCCAACGCAATCGACGTGTTGACTGAAAAAATCAGCGAACAGACGGACTTGCTGAAGGAGATAAACTTCTCACAAAAAAGTGAGGAAACAACTAAACACCCCTGGACCATGGGCCAGGACATAAATAGAACTTGTGAAAAATTCATGAAAAGAACCACCAGTGAAAGCACACTGGAATATCATCAGCGACTCAACAGAGACGCTAAGGAGATCCTTCTCCCAAGGATAGGAGAAGATGATGCTGAAAGAAGGCATCGTTCAGAGATTAGGAGAATTGGCATGTACCAAAGGTTCGGCCAAATGTCCACTTACGATGGACCTCTCGAACATAGAGGTAACTCAACCACACTCTCTCAAAACAATGAGAGAATCCAAATACAACTTCAGGCGAATTCGCCTGAAACCAAAGAAACGCTGCAAGGAAGATTTCC